GCAAGGATAGAAATGAATTCCTTTCTTCAAAATGAATACCAGAACAGTAGAAAATATTTTTTCCATAATAAAACGATGTATGTAGAATAGTTTTTTGAGAAAGTATTATTTATAAACGTACGTGGGATAAATATGATCCAACGAACGACGATCAAACGTTTTAATCTCCTCCTTTTTCATTCTTCTTCGGTCTTTCCATAGTTTCCGTTTTCTAAAATGAAATCTCGCTTGGAACGACGTTATTATACGATTCCACACACATCCAAAACAACGTAAGTTAAACTTAATAACACTGCATATCCAGAAATTTAATAGTTTTACGATTTATTATCTTACGTATTATTACACAAGTATTTAGATTTAAAAAAAATATTATTTTCTCCGGGATTTAATTATTAATTAAGCTAATCCTAAAATTTCGTAAACGTATCGTGTAGTCTTGTGGGGGATATTCGGAAATATTCACCTAGATTTACGTGTCCCACTGAAGCCGAAAGGGTTAACAAGCTCGTTCTTGTCCGAAATTTGTCGCTCGAGGAAAGACGATATCCGAGATTCGATAGACTTTATCCGGCCAATATTATACGAAAAAATCGATTTTTCTACGTTAGATGAAGCGAGATAGAAACATAGACGCGACGAAGACGGAATGATCCGACTCTATTTGCGTCCTGCTTCAAACTGGACATTTGATAAGAGTATGTGAAAAAAGTAATCGAAGCAAGGAGAGAAAACGCAAATTATTGTCGAATAATGTGTCTATGCTAAAAATCGCATAGAAATTAATTATTATTATTTGGTTCTAATTCTTTGGACAAAATTTTGTACATCAATTGTAGTCTCGGTTACAGGGTAAGTCTCGTCCATCCACGTGTTTGCGAAACGAGACGACGAGAGAGAGAGAAAGAGAGAGAGAAAGAGGCCCGAGGGTGCGGATCGCCAGGTATGCGGATCGCATTCAACAGTCGTGAAAGACTCATTCCTTCATACGCATTTAGATTGTCGCGGCTGGTTTATTCTTCGAACGATGCGGCCAAGGGATAGTACACTGGCATCGTCCTCTATTTATATCCGCGAGCCAGGTCCGCGTGTCGCCGAAAACGCTACGGCGTTAAACGTGGAAAAGTCGTGTTTCAGAATACCAAGTTTCTTGGTGGCGGATGAATGTAATAAAAAAAAAAAAAAAAAATAATTGATATAACAAATGACGAAGACGTAATTATTCGTGCGAGAAGAAAAGCTTGGACACGTGGAAAACTCTCTTTCACATTTTTTTTTTTGAAAAAATACTTATAACAATCTTTCTTAGAATATCTCTACGAGTCGATTGTGGAACAGAATAGGAAATTTTCGTGACGTGATCGTACGCGTCAACCGCCGTAAAATAGGACGTTTCTATTCGTCAATTACCATAAAATAGGAAATTTCCATGATATATGATCAATCATTATAGAATAAAACATCCCTATGACGCGTGATCGTCAATGGCCATAGAATAAGAAAGGTGTGATTGTGATGAAGGCGTCAATCACCAGAGAATAGAAAATCTCTATGAATCAATTACCATAGAATAGGAAATTTTCATGATGTGATCGCTACACAATAGGACATCTCTGTCGATTGCCATAGAATAAAAAATTTTCATGATACGATCGTGCGCGTCAACCGTCATAGAATGGGAGAATCTCTATGCGTCAATCACCATGGAATAGGAAATTTCCATGATACGATCGTGCGCGTCAACAGTCATAGAATAAAACATCTCTATGATAGCACGCGTCAATCGCCATAGAATAAGAAACGTTTATGACGTGATTGTGATGACGCGTCAATCACAATGGAATAGAACGTCTCTGCGAGTCAATTATCATAGAATAGAAAATTTCCATGATATAATGGTACGCCATGGAACAGGAAATAGCTGTGCGACGGTACGCGTCAACCGCTGTACCGAGTAATCGAGTCGTATTCGGTCTCGAGAACGTATAGGTTTGTTCTCTTTCTCTTCGGTGTGGTTAAAACCTTTCTTGGGACGTTGTTCGAGCGAAACCGATGGCGGGGCTTTTCAACGACAACGAGGAATTCGAGGAGGAAATTTTAACACTGTTGATTCAACGCGTAATTACCGCAATTCACAAGAGAATCGTGTAGCGACATATTAATTCGGGGGAGAATAATGGCGTAAGAAGGAAAAATGACGCGATATTAGGCTGTCCCAAAAGTTCTATTCGTCTTACTATAGATATCCTTCTAGCGTCACAGTTTCATCTCTCTCTCTCTCTCTCTCTCT